AAGTAATATGACTTCCCTGACAGGGGTATCTCGGTCATCTTTCATTTTTGTTGACAAAAAACAAGTGGCACTACATTCGTATAGTCATCTCCTCTTGTTAATTTGAATAAATACAAGTGAAATGATTTTCAGTTTTTCACTGATCAAACCATATATATATATATATGTATATATATCCGTTTTTACCTAACAAATCTGTCCTCGTGTGTGTAATAATGTTTCCAGACTTTTGTATTTTACTTTTATTTCTTGAATATCACGACGAGGCTTTTTATCATATACTATAATTATATATAATTATATATGATGTTGAATGGTAGGTGACACAATCACAACAACTGCAATAGGTTATTCGTAATTTTTTTTTTATGTGGCTGACGTACAGCTAGCTCAACTTAAGATTAAAATAGATCAGGTAAAGTTTTAAATAAACTGCTCTTGAGTAACTACTTTGGTTGTTATTTTGGTATATTTCAATACTAGGCGCTGGGTTTTCTTTTTAAAATTAAAGAACTGAACAATCTCAATTTCTTTGTACAAATTCAACACTCATCGGTGGGAAAGGGGGAATAGTTATATCAAGAAAATGTTTGTCATTCGAAATATATAAAAATGGTTATTAGGGTTTTTTTAAAGGTAATTACAGTTTGATCATTCAATCATCCTAGATTTAAGCCGTCAGATCTATAAACCTTTTTGCCAAAAATGAGGGGAAAGCGGCTCATCCCTACCTCAACTGACACACATGATACCATTTCATACCCGATCTTTTATATTGTGCCGAAATATACATCAATTGTTAAAAAATGGCCATTTCGTTCCCAAACCCATATTTTTTTGGCGAAAAACTACATTGACCCGGATGCCGTTAGTCAAACCCGTTACTCCATTAACGGAGATGACTATATTTGCCACGGTGGATTCTGCGTTACCTACAGTTGTAAAACGTCGTCGTTTTGAAGAAAGTGAGAAAAAAAAATTCCACCCTCTAGGATTTGAACCTGAACCCATTGCTTATAAATCGAGTGCTGAATCCAGTAGACCAAATGTATTTATCGATAATCTTTTGCATACTTAAACAATATAAACAATTATAATGCCCAATGGTTTAATTAAAAAAAACTGACGACGTCGTTTTGTCGACATTTGTGATTGAAGAAAAAAAGACATCAGTCTTCTCCTTCTTCGTGAGATTCGTGAGTTCAGACTTTAGACAGAAAATTGGGGAAAAAATAGGGTTTTGGTGGTTGAAGAAATCACAAGATAATGGCTACTTCATCGAATCAAAAGACTTCCTCAGTGAATTCTTTCAGTTTTTTTAGAGAAATTGAGTACAATTTTTTAGGGGAAATTGAGTACACAAATCTTAGATTTTCCTTCAGTTTATTTGAAATCAATCAATTTTTCTCTATATTCACCACACTATTGGCAAATCGCGTAACCCCTTTTCTCAATATCTTTCACAAAGTCGCAAATGTTTTTCTGGGTTTGTTATTTTATTTATTTCACATGTAAATGATGCAATTTTCTGGGTTTGTTTAATCACGAACAGAAGAAGACAGAATGTCGACAAAACGACGTCATCAGTTTTTTTTTAATTAAACCATTGGGCATTACAATTGTTTATATGTTTAAGCATGCGGTAGATTATTGATAAATTCCTTTGGTCTACTGGTTTCAGCACTTGGTTTATTAGCAATGGGTTCAGGGTTCAATTCCTAGAGAGTGGAAATTTTTTTTCTTCCGTATTATTCAAAACGATGACGTTTAATAACTATAACTGACGCAGATCTACCGTGGCAAATGAGTCATTTCTGTTAACGGAATAACGGGTTTGACTAACGGTTTTTGGGTCAATGTAGTTTTTCGCCAAAAAAACATGAGTTTGGGTACAAAATGACCATTTTTTAACAGTTGAAGTATATTTCGGCACAGTGTGAAAGTTCCAGTATTAAATTGTATCATATGTGTCAGTTGAGGTTGGGGATTAGCCGCTTCCCCCAAAAACGAGTGTAGTCGCGTAGAAGATCCCCATGCAGATATCGACGGCTGTGATTCGCTCAGACGACAGATTGATCCGTGGGGATTAGACGCATGCAAAAACCTCACGTGAATATTCTACATCGGGATCTTTTAGTTTAGATTCACATGTGCTTATGCTAAATCGCGCAGACGTTAGCATGGAGTACATTTCTTGCACTAAATTGCGCCTAACATACTAGTTGAGACTATGACCGTTGTAACCTTTCTCGAGATAAATTTAAATACGAAAAGAAGCATTTTCCTTCTTGTCCACCAAATATGAAATTAAAAATAAAAAATAATAAGACTAACAAAGTTTTACAAAATGTAATTATCATCACTTAGAAATAATTATCATTATTTATTTACGCGTGGAGTATTGGACCCCTCTGACGCGTCTGTTACCAAAGAAAAAAAAAGAGAGAGTAATTAACGGCGTTAACGTTGCCGTTAATTGGGTTGCAGGCTAGATTATATGCGTGTTCGTTTATATGATATCTTAGTAAGGTCCTTTAAAGATCCAAGAGCTATTATGTGCTTAAGTGGAAGACATGTGTCTGTACGTAATATATTGTATAATATATAATTGATGTATGTGTGTATGTATGAAAATATATTTTTGTTTTTTTGGGTTAAAATGTTAAATTTTCTACTATTTCTTCTTTTTTTTTAAAGAAGATTACAAAAATAAAACTAAGGAAAAAATTAAAATTATTAAAAAATACAACAGCGCAAAGTAGAAATAAAGAAAATCACAAAAACGAAATTAAACCGAAAAAATTGGTTAAACTTAGAAATTAAGGTACGAACCATGAAAAAATAATATGCTAGAATCGTAATTGACAAGAGTAACCGAGAAGTCGAGAACCATAAAAAGTCTTCAAATAGTTATATCAAATTATAATACCTATAGCTTCATCGAGGACATATAACACCTTTAATCTTGGAAAACAAACCAACGGAAAAGCCTTCACCACATCAACAAATTATCACTAATTTTTGTGCGTAAAATCGGCCAAAACACATAACTGTTACTAAAATTATGTCAAAGCCACTAGTGTAACCAATCAAAAAGGATATTTGTCGGATATGAGACTGAAATCAAAAACATTTCGCCAAACGATCGTTAAAATAAAAATTGCCATACCTACTGCACTTTTGCAAAATATAATATACAAATTTTAAACTATACAACTAATTAAATGGTTTAAATTACATCCAAACACGGATATATTAGGTGAAAGTAGGACCCATCTTTTTTAACGCAGCTAATTAACGTCGGCAGTGTGGTTTAAGTAACCGGTACGACACAGTTTTCTCTGTGTGCATTCATTGGCACAGAGCCGCGGCGCCAAATGTTTGCGTTTTTGACCTCCCGCTTCACACATTACTTGCCAAGTGTTGATTTAAATAACCCGCGTTCTCTTCACGCGATTCTCATTTGATGGAGCCGCGATTTTTAAAAATTTACCGTTGCACAATTCTCTCATTTGTCCTCTCAGTGTCAGACTTATTTACGGAAATACCCACTAGAATGGTGTTTCTCAAATAATGGCAAATCCGTGTATTTAATTAACGGAGAGGGATATTTCGGAGAATTACATCAGTGACGGTGTATTGGGGCGGCTGAACCAATCCGACTTTTGTTTGCTCCGTTATGCGCTTTATGGGAAATTTCAATTAGTTTAAAACTCGAAATACTGATTAAAAGTTGAAAATTCAATGATACTCCTTTTATTTTAGACCCCGAAAGTCTCAAGATAAATTGTTTTTTAAACCCTAATGATTCACCTTTTCTTAAAATGTACCCCGTTTGTCTTCGAGGTGAGATCTCTGGTCCACAGCTTTTTATTAGACAACTACAAATTTATATTCTTTTCTTTTCGGTTTGTATTTTGATTTTAGTCTCTTTTTTTTTGCACTTTATCCCTCCTCAAAGAAACCTCTACAATACTGTCAATACATTAAAACGCAAAACAAAAAAAGATAACGATTAGAATGTATTTAATGATTACACCATGGGTCGATTATTCTCAATTTTTTGTTGGCAATTTTTATATTCATACCATTTTCAGATTTTGTAGGAATAGAATTCATCAGACATTTTTGCTTACAGAGTTTGTAATCTCTAAATATATTAAAAATGAAGTGTTGGTTGAACAGAGCTGACATAGCACCTGTGACTATTTGTCGGGACACATGTGTAAGAAGCAAAGCCCTTCATGCTTTCTTGCTTCTCTTGTTTTTCTCTCGTCGTCTTTCATATATCGATATATTACTACTTTATACGTGTATATATATTTTCTCTTCACGGCCTTTGAAAGCTTTATCATATTATTTTTTTGTTTTGGAAAATTTTTTAGCTTTATCATATTAAAATGTTAACTTTCATATGAGTCTATATTCATTTGAAAAGTAAAAGAAAGTGAATGTGCACAAAAATAAGTAATTATGCCAATGCTTTAGGATCATTACTATTAGTACCAAATTTAAAATTATCAATTATTATATTTCTAGGCTGTATCCACATTCTACTATTCTAGGGTTATCAACTACGACACGGGTTTAGGGTCATTAATGCGATTCCGAAATTAAAATGTCAATTTTATTGATTAATAAGTAAAACTACTTCTAGCGAAATGAAAATTATCGAATACATAAATGATAAATCTCTATAAAAATCAATTTTGTTCACTCTATAGTCCGAATTATATATACTAAAAGCGAACCATAGAGAATATTAGGAAAAGTGATATGTTTATTATAATAAACCAAAAAATTGTAAATTTTAGCAATAATATCCAACTATATCGAAAAAATACAAGTACTGTAATCAATTTACGATTTTAATTTATTCAGCATTCGCTAAAGATCATGTCACCGCGTAAGATAAAAACAAATTAAAAGGAATATAGAAAGAAAAATATTTTGGAAATTTGTAAATTGAAAATATAAACCCACCCAAAGCCAGATGGAAACCTCATATTCATTTTTCTCTCTCCCATTAGCCTTTCGTCTCCTCTCTCACTAAACATCCATAGCTTTCCTACGCAAGCTATTATCTCTTTACTCTCTCTCTTTCTCTAAAAGCTTTTCAGTTTATACACACACGGAAGCGTTTGGTACTAAACGATATAATTTATAAAAAATGGAGACTTTGAGTCGTTTCTTAGTGATTATGTCTCTGTTCTCCGGTTTGGTTTCTGGATTTTCTCTACAAAACCTTCCAATCACATCGTTTGAAGAAAGTTACACGCAACTTTTCGGTGATAAGAACTTGCTTGTTCATAAAGACGGCAAATCTGTCCGGTTAACACTCGATGAAAGGACCGGTACGATCTTAATTGTTCCTCTGTTTTCTCGTTTCCTGATATTTGCTTATTTGTTTTCCTCGGTTTAGTGATGGTTTAATTTTTCTTTGCAGGTTCTGGGTTTGCCTCAAATGATCTTTACTTACATGGGTTCTTCAGTGCTTCAATCAAATTACCTTCTGATTATTCAGCTGGAGTTGTTGTTGCCTTTTATGTAAGTATATAACCCTCCTTCTGTAGCTAGATTTCACCATATTTGGCTTAAATTTATTGTTTTAAGCTCTTGGGTATGGTTAGAACTAATCAATTAATGATATTTTTCTTGATAAATATGATTAATTTCAGTATTGATTTTGGGATTAGGTTTGCTGATTTTTGTTTGTTTGTTATATTCAGATGTCAAATGGAGATATGTATGAGAAGAACCATGATGAGATAGATTTTGAGTTTCTTGGTAACATAAGAGGAAAAGATTGGAGGATTCAGACAAACATTTACGGAAATGGAAGCACACATTCGGGTAGAGAAGAGAGATATCATCTCTGGTTTGATCCAACTGAAGATTTTCATCAATACGGCATCCTCTGGTCTGATTCTCACATCATGTAAGTTGAAACAAAAAACTCTGTTTTGTTTTGATGTTATTAAATCAAAAAAACCTTAGGATCTTGAAAGGAGGTTAGGTTCTTGACCCCATTTGATTTAAGTATTTTTTGGGTATTCAATAATGTCATCTTCTATTTAAGGAAACCCAAGTGGGGTTTAATGTTTGGGGAGAGATCTTTTGGTTTTCTTTTATGCCCAAATTGCTTTGGTGGATTTTAATTTTAATTTTTTCTTCTTGTGGAAAGTTTTGTGATGCTTGGGACATCATTTGCTTTTGGTTGTATTGTTCCTGTCAATTTCAAGTTTGTGAGCCCCCAAAATGGTTTACAGCTTTCGATTTTTGGCATCAACAAAGACCCCATAGAGAGTATGTTTTCCTTTGAGGGTCCAATTCAATTTGAGAATCTTTACTTATAGTTCATCAAAAGCTGGAATTTTTATACCAAAAATGTTATCTTTTTAAGTTAAAAATTTCAGGGTATTGATCAAATTCGTATTCTTTTCCCCAAAGTTGGCATTATTGACTCATACAGAATCTAACCCAGCTCATAAAAAGATGTTCTTTCTGCCTTAAATGTTAATTTTGTTTTGGATAATTAATCTTTTATGTGGGTACTGATCAAAATTGTAAATTTTTTAATGGTTACAGATTCTATGTAGACAATGTACCGATCAGAGAAGTGAAGCGAACAGAGTCAATGGGCGGTGACTTCCCCTCAAAGCCGATGTCTCTCTACACTACAATATGGGACGGTTCTAAATGGGCAACAAACGGTGGCAAGTACGGTGTAAATTACAAATATGCCCCTTACATAGCTCGGTTCTCCGACTTAGTCCTTCACGGCTGTGCCGTGGACCCGATCGAGCAGTTTCCGAAGTGCGACGAAGGAGCGGCCGAGGATATTCGTGCGGCGCAGGAGATCACACCGTCGCAGAGGGTTAAAATGGGTATTTTCAGGCGGAAACTCATGACTTACTCTTATTGCTATGATCGGACAAGGTACAAGGTTGCTTTACCGGAGTGTGTGGTTAATCCGGCAGAGGCTCGACGGCTTAGGGTTTATGATCCGGTGACGTTTGGAGGGATTCCGAGGCACCACCGCAACGGAAAGCACCGGAGCAAGAGAAGCCGGATTGATGGAACAGAGTCGATATGATTCCTTATAGTATTATATGGTGTTGGATTTTGGGGAGAGTGGGGGTTTATAATAAGTTCATCTATTGGTATTTATGATTTAATGCATTTTTGTCATTTGTTGCTTGTATATGAAGAAAAAATAAAATTATTAATTTTTTTATTTGAGAGATTTGGAGTTTTGAACACTTATATGATTATGTGTAGTTCTTGTTTTTGTGAATATTTTCATTTACGTATATTTGCGTTGTAATTTCACTTTTCATTGATATTTTATTCTCCATTTCTTCGTCGATTGACGATCTTATTTAATTCAATTTTGAGTACCGGAAGTTTTGTCTCTGTTGTACTTGTTTTATTCAATTGGGTCCAATGAATGTCATTCGATTTAATTCTGTGTGATGTTCATGCACATATGTATACTAGCAATGACCACAACTTATATAATCATTAGGCCGGGTCTAAAGCATACTGAGAAGAAGCCATGAATCATGATAACTTTCAAAAAAAATTAACGCCAGTTTTGAGAAACAAAATCTGAATAATTTTTCTTATATTAACAAAAAAAAACACACAGGAATTCTAAATGTTGTGCATGATATTGAAAAACATTGGACAGATCAACAAATTTTGAGCTAAGTAAACAATTTTTGGTTGTTTCGAGTTTGGTTCGTATTTATTTATTTATTTATTTTTGTTTGGTTCGTATTTATAATTCATCAAAACAACACAAATTTTGAAAACAAAATTAATGAACAAAAAGTTTCGGCGTAGCTCATTTTCGTTATCGGATTTCGCATTTTAGGGACCATCCAAAAGATAAAGACAATGCGGAAAATTGGACAAAATTGGCTTAGCTCATTCCCATTGTGTTGAGACGTCGATGTTTGTTTTTTTTTTGCCAGCTATTTTCCAACTGGGAAAAACCTTTACATGCTTCCAAAGGTTTTGCCACGCATCTAGTTCTTATCCAGAAAACTATTTTGCCTTTTATTGGGTCGGGTCGGGACGTTCCGGGTCAGATCGAGACGGATCGGGTCGGGTCGGATGATTTGATTATTGAGAAAGGGAAAAAAAAACAAATCTTCTTCTTCCTCGTACCCTCTCTATCTCAATGACTCAAACTCTGTAATACTGTCGATTGATTGATTCCTCTCACGAGGAGGTAAGCTTCTTTGATTCTCCTCTCTAGACTCATATAGTGCTTCCGTATTCGTCACGTAATTTCGTTTTTAGACTTAAAGCGGATTCCTTTTTTTAAGCTTTATGTTCCATCTTAAAACCCTAGCTGTTCTCCGACTCTGTTGTAGAAACGTTCTGACCTATAGATCACTCAGGATATAATCGGATTCGAGCTGATTCGCTGCGAATTAGAACCCTAAATTCTAGGAATGATAATGCATTGTCCTGTCTCTTCTTCGTCACTTAGCTTCCACCTGAATCTTCAATCGAGCAGTATCGGAGCAACAAAAGTCTCTGCTCAAGTCAACGCAAGTCAAAGAAATCACTCCAAGAAACTCACTAAGAATCTCCGTAATCCACGCCGCACCAAGCTTCCTCCTGATTTCGGTGTTAATCTGTTTCTGAGGAAACCACCAGTTACTGAACCATTAGCAGAAGATCAAGAACCAGAAGAGGAGCAAGTGGACGATACTGATGTCTGGGAGCCAGAAGAAATCGAGGCGATTTCATCGCTTTTCCAGAAAAGGATCCCTCAAAAACCCGGGAAACCGATCCGAGCTAGGCCTTTGCCGCTTCCACAACCTCACAAGTTACGACCTTTGGGTCTTCCAACTCCAAAGCACAACATCAAATCAGCTGCATCGTCTTCTGTATCGAAGCAAGTGTGTAAAGATCCAAGCTTTCTCATCGGTTTAGCTAGAGAGATCAAAAGCTTGCCTTCTTCTGATGCTGATGTCTCTCTTGTTCTCAACAAATGGGTTAGCTTCTTGCGTAAAGGATCACTCTCCACGACGATTCGAGAATTGGGTCACATGGGTTTGCCTGAGAGAGCTTTGCAGACTTATCGTTGGGCTGAGAAGCATTCTCATCTGTTCCCGGATAACCGGATCCTGGCATCAACTGTTCAGGTTTTGGCCAAGCACCACGAGCTGAAACTTCTTAAATTCGACAATAGTTTGGCTAGCAAGAACGTTATCGAAGCAATGATCAAAGGGTGCATCGAAGGTGGATGGCTGAATCTAGCACGGAAGCTTATACTGATCGCAAAGAGCAACAATCGTATACTCGACTCGAGTGTTTACGTGAAGATGATTGTGGAAATAGCTAAAAACCCTGACAAATACCATCTCGTTGTTCCACTTCTCGACGAGCTGAAAGAAAGAGAAGACTTGAGATTGAGCCAACAAGACTGCACAAGTGTTATGAAGATCTGTGTGAAACTGGGAAGATTCGAGCTCGTTGAATGTCTCTTTGACTGGTTTAAAGAATCGAACAGAGAACCGAGCGTTGTGATGTACACTACGATGATACATAGCCGGTGTTCGGAAGAGAAATACCGGGAGGCGATGAGTATGGTTTGGGAGATGGAGGAATCTAACTGTCTTCTTGATCTTCCAGCTTATAGAGTAGTCATTAAACTGTTTGTGGCATTGGATGATTTGGGAAGAGCAATGAGGTATTACTCGAAACTCAAGGAAGCTGGATTCTCTCCAACGTATGATATTTATCGAGATATGATTAGTGTATATATTGCTTCCGGGCGATTTACAAAGTGTAAAGAGATATGTAAAGAGGTTGAAGATGCTGGATTGAGGTTGGATAGTGACACTTCATTTAGGTTGTTGCAGCTCGAAAAGCAAGTAATGTCTCTTCAAGTATAAACACTTTGCACTGAAGAGAAAGTTCCAGTTTTGTTTTCTGTAAGTTTGTGTCTTCTTCGATTAGAGATGTAACATTTTAGTACTAAAGATAATCAAGAATTAAGATACAAGAAAATGAAGAAATCATATAAAAAACACTTTGTAGTATTACTGTTTGAAGATTTTTTCAGGGAAAGACGAAAGTGGAAACTGAACAATCTCAGAATCAGACATTGCGACTCTGTTTTCTTCTGGAACTGATTGTGGCCCATCCATCGATGGTTTTATCACTGTAATGAACAAAATGTTGTAGAACAAAGTAAGAGCTAAGAGAACAAAAGCTAAAGTTGTGAGGAACGATCCGGAGAGCTCAGATGGTTCTTCAAACGTGTATGGATCAACTGATGATGAATCTCCGGTACTTGATCTGACAACATCCAACGATGTCTTGATGAAGATTCTGGGTTTTTCATCGGCTTGAGATTCTATTTGTTGATCAAGCTGTTTCAGAGCTTCTCTAGCTTTATCTGTATCGATTTCGAATCTCTGTGAAGAAGAAGAAGAAGAAGAATCGTTTTTGTCAGTGGCTCTGATAATACCAGTCAGATGTCTCTTCTTCTTCTTCTTCTTCTCCATGATTCCTCCATGTCCGTACCAATTAAGAGACTGTAAACTTAGCACCACCATTCTCTGTTTCCTCTGTTTTTTCTTCTACAGCTCTGTGTAGGCTGTAATGATAAATTTTTGTGTGTGGACATCGTTGATGTCGATGAGTAAGATACGACTTCTCTGAGGGGTTTTATTGTCATTTGATACTGATTATAACTTATCAGGGCCTTCAAAATTATCCTTCTCCAATGCGTAAGCCCAAAAATGATGTTCCAAGAAGCAATGAAATCTCAAAAAAACCTATGTGTTGAGGGTTATGTAGCAAATAGATGAAGATATAAAAAGAGATTTCATTTGAAAACCTAAATTTGCTAAACAGTAACCACCCATGCATTGGCATACACCTTGGATTTGAGAAACTGGTATCGAAATCTTTACTGAGTGATGGTCACAGTGATCATCCATATATATTTATATATCATACCAATCGTTTCCTTTAATAGCATAAGAGATTAGTTTTTCTTCATCTTCGTAACTCTCTCAGGGACAAACAAAATAAGTAATGGTGCTAGTTGTAGAAAACTGTGTTACGTGATTCACACAATTTTGACGGATCCAACTCTTTCTGAATACGCTATACTAAATCTTTTTCTTGTTAATAATAACAACCAACTTTTGTTCATCTTTAAGATTTATATCCATTGTCTAGTTTGCAAAATTTAAGGTTGATCATGTAAAGGTGACATAATCATTATTCAAACGATATAGACTAGAGAGCTCAATACCCTTCTTCCATTAATCTGGCCTCAATACTCCTCTGCAGCATTAATTCAACCATTCAATCATTGATGCCAATATAATCTTACTACATGAGCTTATTTTCCCACTTGTTGAGAGCCATGAATCATCACACAATTTTTCAATTGCAGAGAATTTTGTAGAACGATCATTACTTGACGCATAAAGAAACCAATGATGTGCATATTATACCATCTCACATATTTTACACAACAATCAAAAGGATAAATTTCTTGTAAATAAGCAATCCAAAATTAAAGTATGTTTAACTCTCGCTCTCTTTCTTTTTATTATTTTTAGGTATAGTCTTTAAACGAGATTAAAATGGTTTTTAATTTTTAGACAATGAAGATTGGTGAAGAACATTGCCGGAAACATCATAATAGATGAACTTAGCTTGAGAATGGCTGATGTGAAGAGACATGAAACCTTGTCCGTCGTAATAAAGCTTAAGTTCTTTTGGATCCCATGGCTGAATGTTTCCTCTCCATGCTTTTGATCCTCCTCCACTTGTAAGAAATTGAATCTCACTTCACCAATTCCAAAAATGAATATTTAGTTTTGTTTTTAAAAGTAAACATGTAATCTCAACTAAATTCAAACAGAAATTTGTTTCGTTTGATTTTTCATTCTAGAATGTAAACCAATACGAATAAAAAAAATATTAACATGTTATATTCAATACTATATATGAATTATGATTATATGAAACCGATATTTTTCCTTGGTTAAAACCAATGTTTTTATAACTTACCCAAACAAATGGCAATATTCTTGGTTCTAATATCGACAATTTACTTAGAAGTAGAAATATCAAAACTGGATTATATATGAACCAAACGGAATACTAAATTTTACCTCCTTATTGAACACTGGCATGATTAAAAATCGTTTTTTTTTGTTTGTGACATCAATTAAAGATGTAAGTACAAAAACTTTACCCGTCAGAACCAATGTGCTGCAAGCAATGATCATGCCCGTTTATATACAAGTCCACTTTATTCTCCTTCAGTAGTAAATAAAAGAATTACGAGAAAAGTTAGCAAAGATTTTATGGGAGAAAATATTATAGTAGTAATAATAATAGTAATAAATAAATATAGTTGTAGTAGTAGGAGTTTTTTTTTTTTGTGTGGCTAAAATGTAGTAGGGAGGAGTTGAGTTTACATAAAACAAGAAAAAAACTTACCTCTAGAATTGGAAGAAGTTGATCTACGAGCTCTTGGGTCACACCATGATCACCTGCAGTTTTGATCCCGTGATGTCCCACGATAATTTTCCACGTGGCACGCGACCTTTTAAGCCCTAAATCTAAATCCTAATATTTCAATAACAATAAATCAAAACTATTAGAAAATATCAATACGAAGATGGATATTTATGACTCTTGTTCTTTTTGAAACAAAATGTATTACATCTAAGAGGTTTGAGATATAATTATTTCTGGGTAAGACGTCGCTCCAATCATAGGTGTGATCTTTCGGATCTGTGAAGTATTTATCTACAAAAGGATTTGTGTCCACGAAGAAAAACTCCACCATTCCTATAATCACCAAAACAATTATCACTAATCAACCAAAATATTTAAAACTTGAATGCAAACTTGAACATGAGTATGTATAAATATATATATATATATATATATATATATATATATATACCGTAATTCAATAAATCTTTTGTGTCAAATCCAACTTCTTTAAAGAAAACAAAAAATATATTTGAACATTCCTGTTATGTATAAGCATTAATTTATAAGAAACTGGATGCCTAAAAAAGGAACCTGAGCATAAGACAAAAGATCTGCGACAAAACCATCTCCAATCTTTTTGGGTGAGAACTTTACTTAGTTGTGCTGAAACATTTCCTCTGTAATCATGGTTCCCCAAAACTGCAATAACATTTGGTTTTTTTACCCCCACGCGTTAACTAATCATATAGAACTAACACAATTAATTATTTATCAAACATGTAAAGAACTTCATAGAAGGAAGTAGATTTACCAGAATACCACTGTTTTTTTAGACTAGGATGAGTGTAGATATGAGAGAAAGAGGCTTCAAAAGAAGGATCATTGTCTCCCTTTAAACCGTCGTCATAGAAATTGTCTCCTACTGATATCACAAAATCTATGTCTAGTTGCTCTCCCACCATTCCCATCTGCCAAATTTTCAAAATTTCTAGTTTTTTTTATATATGAATAAATTCTTAATAAGGGTGTAAAAACTTTTTCGATTAAAGATATAAAGTTTTGATATTGAAAAAGGTTCTTCTTACGTTATTGGCAAATAAAAAGTTATTTTAATTAGGATATATTATTGTTTGTAAAATGTTAGTTTTATTGTTTATTTTTTTATTATTTTAAGTTATGAGAAGTACAAGATGAACGAACGGAATGGTTGAATCAAACTTTCAACTTCTTTTTCTTTCATCACTTAGGGAATATGCTTTGTAATGAAAAGTGTCAATTCGTCAGTTACAAGCATATTTTCACGTATATTTTGTTCAATCGTTTACCAAAACAAAGAATATGCCTTTTCAATCAAATGAATGCCTATGTATTGCGTAGAATGAATGACATCCTCTCAGAAAGATATGGACGCAACGCAACATAATTTAATGTCTTTTCTTATATAATTGTATACGTGTTTCTTAACCCATAAAAAAGAAAAAGCGTGTTTCACCTTTCAACATTAATTATATGGAAAAGAAAACAAAGAACCAGATTAATTAAGTATACATTTCCACTAAAAATAAACCTAATCATTTGGGTGCCTACTGCCTATTATGGAAATATTTTTATGTCTAATATTAAATGTTACATATCTATCCTACAAATCAAACATCCAAAACCATATTATTATCCATCAACAATATACCTTTTACTTTCAGTTAGGTATTTCTTTGGTACTCTATTAAGAAAACTATTTTCTTTGATATCCAAATACTTATTACTGAAGCATTAAGTTTTGTACTAGCGCCGTTACGGTATCATATATATCCGAGATTTATATTTAGTAGTGTACAGGTGAGTGACATGATAGGAAAAGAAAAACATCAAAAGATTATTTAACCACAAGAATTATTTTGCTAATCATTGTGTTTTTGTTGCCTTGAACACATATGCTTTTACACTGTCAAATATTAAAGTACATAACTTTTGGTCACTCCAACCAAACTATAAATCTTGTTGTAGGTTATCTAAGCCCAACAATATATATATATATATATATTATACGTACGTTATATGACAATATGATCAGTACAATATAAGTTATTACCTGATGAGCAACGACGGATTGATTAAACTCTCCTTCTCGTCCCCAATCTCCGACGACCAAAATGTTCAAAGAGCCATCAGGTTTCGTCACCGGATGCTCCAAGCGTTCAAGCTTTGACAAAGAACCATTGATGAAGATACATAGAAACATCAAACGCACACTAAACATAAACACACCTTTCTTCATCTTAACTAATTTTCTAAATTATTTTCTCTAGTCTAAGGAAATTTAGAAAACCGAATGCATATATATAGATAGTAGAGAGGGGAGTCTAGGTGCCAAAGTCATATGTGTCTATGTAATCGTTTTACTACATAAATTATATACTCGTTTTACTACACATGTACTTTGACCCTTAAAAAAATGTTTAAGAGAGGACTTTACAGCGTTTCCTTATGTAATACACCCACTACAGTATTATCTTACCTAAGCTGTGGGGCCATGCGGAGTGTTACTTACACGTTTACGTCAAAGGTTTATCTTTCTGATTTTTTCCTTTTATTTTTCCTATTATATTTTTCCTATTTATGTCTAATATAAGGATTGATGGGATATTTGATGCATGAATATAATCTTTATAAATTTTGTAACAAACTAGTGAAGATTCATATATTTGTGGTTTTTAAATAATAAAGAATAGTATGAACGATTTATTTCTTTATATATATATATGTGAAACGAGCGAAAATAACAATTTGGAATATCTATATACAGTGGAAATACCCACAACAAGAAATAAAATGGATAACATACGTCAGAATATTTATGGGTTTTGACCTTTGAGTCAAAATTAAACCGACGTTAGATTTAATAAAACCAACGCAACTTTTCCGACGTAAAAGTTAATATACTCAACGTCGGATGATGTTAAATACGGTTTATAAACGATGCCATAGTTTCAAAGTCTGTTTAGAAATGACGTTAAAGTCAATAATAACTGATGTCAAATGCCAATTTATTTGTAGTGATCATACCTATTGATGAGTTTATTTTTATTTTTGAAAAAGTCCATACTATTGAATTATAATCCGAAAAACAATGTGCACACGAGAACCATGCGTAATCTATTTTTTATATATTAAAAACAAACCATATCTTTGAGCCTCGATCTCTATTTGTTTTCTCTATTATTTCAATATAAATAAAAGCAAGATAAATTAAGGGACTATGCATATGTCTACATGACTACATGTAATAATTACCTTTCTAAATCCTTGTTACAAAAAAATAAAAATAATTCCCTTTCTAATTAAAACTAAAACCTTATGAACTAGAAATATAACTGCAAGTCATGCAAAACATTGTCACATAAGATATCCCCATTGATGTTACAAAAAAAAATATCCCAATTGATCAAATATAATAAACATTGGAAGTACTAATACAAATATATCTCCTCAACAATTTTTTAAAAGTCAGATTCGTCAACTAGATACCCGAATAAATCCCCTTTTTATAAGTATTCCATCGATGCAAAACGCGACCAAAACCATCGTAAAAAACGACGCGTAGTTCGGCTTCTGAGATATAAATCGACATGAATCCTTGTCCGTCGTAGTAAAACCTCATCTCTTGCGGGTCCCACTTCTGCACATCTCCTTTCCACGCCTTGGACCCACCGCCACTTGTCATAAATTGTATTCCACTTAAGACAACAAGACACGCGTTGCGGGTTGTTTAATCATTACGTTACAAATACATATTTAATCGGTTAATTTAAGAAGAAAATTAGTTTCAATTATATTAATCACCTGTTGATGCTGCTTATGTGCTCCAAGCAATGATCATGCCCGTTAATATAGAGATCCACTTCATTAGCCTAAGAAAACAAAATTAATTGTTTTCATATTTTGTTATTACATATCTTAATAATCTATATAATTAATAGATAAAAATGACCTCGAGGATAGGCAAAAGTTGTTTTTCAAGCTCTTTGGTAATGCCATGGTGACCTGCACTTCTGATTGTATGGTGACCTACTACTATTTTCCATTTTGCCACAGATTCTTGCAATGCCACATCGACATCCTATATTATTATTATACATGTATATTCTCAGTTAAATGTTGACAAAAAGAAGAAGATAAAGCGTAAGAAAATTAGTACCGTTAAGAGATTGTTAAGATATTTGTTTCTTGGTAATACGCCTCTCCAATCATAAACATGGTCCTTTGGTTCAGCAAAATATTTATCTACGAACGGTGTTGTGTCCACGAAGAAAATATCGACGATCTCTACAAAAAAGGTTTGTTGAAGAAATTATGATATATTGAAAAATGAAAATGATATTTACCATTTTTTATTTGTAAATGTAATTACCGGCGTTAACAACGTAAGATCTTAAGCAAATCCATCGACAGTCCAAATCTCTTAGCATGTGGCTGAGTTGCGCATCGACGTTGCCTCTATAGTCATGATTTCCTAATACTGCCAGATAAACAAAAAATAATGCATCAAAACAAGTGTTTAGATAAACGTAAAATATAAATAGCACTTTAAAATAAATAAATTTATTAATTTTTGCTTATGAGAACAGATAGTTGCTTATATAGTTTACTTACCATTATACCATGGTTTTTGTAAGCTAGATGCTGTGTAAATATTGGTGAAAGAATCTTGAAATTGAGAATCATATGGACTGATTATTCCGTCATCGTAAAAGTTATCTCCAGTCGAAATGATGAAATCGATATTCAAATCCTTTCCTGTTTTTCCCATCTGGATGCCAAAAAAAAAAAATTATAAGAGTCGATAAATTAGTAAAATAAACCAGATACTTAACATTTTTTGTGATATAATGGAAAAAACAAAGACAAGAAATCCTCAATTATTTGGAAAAAGAGTTTTTTTTTTGGTAGAAAAAAGAGTTAAAATGAGAAAAAACAATACAAAAAATTCGGAGCTTGATCCACGACAAACTTGTCCATTTTCACTGTAAACCAGAAAAAAAAAAATAATAGTAATAATAATAATAATAAAAAAAAATCCAATCAGTGTTGATAAAGACTATCTTAGCCGAGTCTTCATTATTCAGAAACATTTACTTGTGTACGATCATAGAAGCAACCAAGACTAAAAGTCTAAAATGAAGACGTGGAATTGCAACAATGGACAGCCTTAAGATTATATATGTTCCATTTAGCCACAAAAAAAAAAATTATAAGTTCCACGTAGGTTACGTAACGTTAGTGAAGACAAAAAAGTTATGTAACTAAAGATTATATGTAACTTCACCTTCACGGTTCCTTAATTAACGTCCCCTTTCGGATGAAAAGTATAGATAAATTATGCCTCAAATATTCACCCTCTCACTCATTAAATTATTAATATCATTTAGATATTATATATCTGTCAATACGACTCGAAACAGCATTTTTCATGCAATACTGATCAGCGATAATTATTGTTATTTTTATTACAACGATTAATACTTTACTCAACGATGCATTTGGCGTCAAGAAAATATAATACGATATTACACGCTTTTACTTTTATATTAGCATAAACTAATATATATGATTAAAGTCATCGTTTTCGTCTCCTCGCTTAATTCTTCTCATAGCCATTTTAACCACACCACAAATAAGTACTTGGAATTTAGCTTGATTACAAACAAGGAGTAACTTTTGATTTTGCATAAAACATAGTAAGAAACTAAGACATACATAAATATACACATATATATGGATGCATATGTACCTGAAGAGCTACTTGGGACTGATTATAAGAACCTCTTCTTCCCCAGTCACCGACGACGAGAAAACTGAGTGTACCATCGGATTTTGGTGGTTGGATCAACCGTGGTAGATCCGCCGTGGAATTACGGGCGGATAGTAAAATAATTAAACAGAAAACAGAAAATATGAATTCTATGGGCTTCTCTCTCAGGCTATCCATTGAGAGACTTTGAAAAAAATATAGGTAAGGGGTGATGGTGGATTTTTGTTGTGGCTTTGTGTATTTATAGGTAGGCCTTATGTGGACAAGATTTGTTTTTTATGTATTAAATGTGAGTTGATTTATCTGTCGCTCATCATTTTTATTTTCATCAAAAGAATAAAAATCTTATCAATTATGCTCTACTGTTTTAACCTTTCAAAATAAATTTCTATGACTCTCTTAAAATATTCAAAATAAAATAGAAGTTTTCTTTAAGCTAAATCCTAAAATAGAAGTTCTTAAAAAAATTCTTAAAAAGGTAGTTAAATTATAGAAAGTGAAACTAAAAATTACTCCAATAATACTTTTGGCCTTTTTGGAGTTCCTATACTAGCATGGAATTCATTTCTTTTAGTGGAGGAAGGTAATAATGACATCATTAGTTAGCCGTGTCTAATGTCTATTGCAAGAATATAAAGGACTTTAGACAAATTGCGTGAGAATAATATTACTCCATGTGGCATATATTGTTCCACATATATAGGTAACAATAACATTGCATATAATGATAGAAATAACGTTTTAATCCCCATATATATTTTTTAAACAAATCTCTAAATCTGGGATTCATGGAGAATGTATTTTCTTCTTTCAGACTATGATTTGCAAATTTACGAGGATTCAGGTAAAATTATTTGTCAAGATTTTATTTTCTTTTTTGGTTTTGGAAAGAAAAAAAAAGATTTTCTATTTTTTTTGTTTCATTTCTTTTTTTTTTGTCAAACTTTGTCATGATTTTCTATTTAGTGTTATCTCACATGTTTTCAACCGCCTATAAACTTTAAAATATGTAAAGTTTACTCCGTTACTCCTTAAAAAGGAATACACATTCCATGGATATTTGACCGTTTTGGGGGGAATTTAATTCGAGATATATATTTTGTAATGAAAGAGTTCCTAAACATTTGGAAAACCCCCATGGTTTTTATTAATTTATATGATAAAAAATGTTATATATAAGTGATCTATATTTTCTCCACCATATGAAGTGTCATACAAGCCAAACGGAACCCATACCATTTTAAAAAAAATAAAAAAACGGAACCCATACGGCCATACCATGTTGTGCTGTCAGGATTTCCAATTATTAATGATGTTTTTGTTCATGTGTTTTCTTTTATCTTAATAAAATCCAAAAGGCATGTGACTGTGAGAGTCGACGAAAACTTCCAATTTTTTCTCAATTATTTTAGATTCTATACATGAGAATACACTCATGCGCGTATAGTAATATAAATAACATCCACGTATATGATGTTCGTTATTGGATCTATCCGAAATCTATATGAGAATTCTAGGCTTCGGAACAATCACAAGTGGATATGTCCATATTGTAGGTTTATCTTATAAAAATTCGATTATACCTGAATGATGAGAATTTAGGGGTCCATTTAATAACCACCCATTCACTAGAAATTAAGACGTGAACCAGTTTTTAGGATCTCTAGATTTGCTAGATATTCCATTAATTTTCATTTTACACTTGAGCTGTAAAAACGAAAGAAGACGGATATTGTTGACATTATCGGCATTGTAACAAGTTCGTTACTGATTTCCATGATTTAATAGAAATGGTTTCATAACCAGAAAAATATTCAGTTTTCGCATCAGAGCTTAGTGAATTTGAAGAACTATTTGACATTTTTCAAGACGTCAAAGTGAGTTTTAAACCAAAAATAAGTAATAAACGAGTGAAATTTCTGTATAAGAAACGTATTAGAAATCATAATTAAAACGTATTAGAAATCATAATACTAATTAGTCGTTGAAGAAGTACCTGCAGGTACACAGTTTTTTATTCTGAATACCACTTCCCATCTTGGTTTTTAAACTGAAACTGAAATATCAGCCACCCCCCCAAAAAAAAGATACAAGCCCATTCTTTTTTTGTCGTCAGATACAGGCCCATTCAAAGTCTTAACAATGTAACTGCTACGAAAAAGCCCCAATATCGGTAATCGGTCCATGATCAGTTTCATCTTGCCAATTAGGCTTGGACAAAAAACCCGGATCCGAATATCCGAATCGGAACCGAACCGAAATAGAGGTATCGAATCCGAACCGAAATTTTTAAAAATATCCGATGGATCTTAAACTCTTATATCCGAATAACCGGAACCGAACTAGTACCGAACCGAGAACGATTGGGTATCCGAATTATCCAAA